GTGAAAATTAGACACAGAGAAGGCTTATGATCATGTGGAGTGGGGATTCTTGGAAGAAATTCAAAGGCTGATGGGATTTGGAGAGAAATGGAGGAGTTAGATATCTGGGTGCATCTCTTCTGTATCACTTTCGGTGATCCTTAATGGGGTATCCTCGGAGTTCTTTCAAACCTCTAGGGGGCTGAGACAAGGGGACCCTCTATCCTCTTTTCTGTTTGTGTTGGTAATGAAAATTCTAAATCTGTTGCTAAGGAGAGGAGTTCAGCAGGGCTGGTTAGAAGGTTTTAGTGTTGGGTCAGAGGGGCCAAACATTTCCCATTTACAATTTGTAGATGATACTCTCATTTTCCTAAATGCAGAGGAGGATCAAGTTCTAAATTTAAGAGCAATACTAGCCAATTTTGAGCTGCTATCAGGCATGAAGGTGAATTTGGAGAAGAGTACTCTATATGGAGTTAGAGAGATTAGTCAGGAAGAGATGTCTCTATTTGCAGCAGCCCTAGATTGTAGGATAGGGGAGCTCCCCTTCTCCTACTTAGGCTTCCCAGTTGGGGCCAAATATGTGTCAGCAAGTACATGGAAACCTCTTATAGAGAGGGTGGAGATGAGGCTGGAGAGATGGAAAGCAAGATATCTCTCTTTTGGGGGCAGAATCACCCTCATTAAAAGTGTGCTCTCAAGTCTGCCCGCTTACTACCTTACACTGCTAAAAATTCCAACTACTGTTTCCAACAAGATAGAAAAAATTCAAAGGGATTTTCTTTGGGAAGGGGCAAAGGGATCAAGGAAATTTCATCTAGTTAAGTGGGAGAAGGTGTGCAGGCTGAAAGCACTAGGAGGCTTGGGGTTCAGAAGAATAAGGACTTTTAACAAAGCACTAATGGGAAATGATTATGGAGGTTCGGGTTAGAAAAAGAAAGGGAGTCATTATGGAGAAGGGTGGCAGTAGGGAAGTGTGGGGTGGTGAGATTTGGGTGAGAGCCAACGGAGGTATCAAATTCCTATGGGGTGAGTGTTTGGAAGGGCATAATGAACATTAATCAGGATTTCAGAGGCTTGGTAAGTTTTAAAGTGGGTGCTGCTTCTAGAGTGAGGTTTTGGGAGAATGATTGGAGTGGGGTGGGGAAGTTGTGTGAAATCTATCCAAAACTGTACAGATTGGCTGATCATCAAGTCTCAGTATCCCAATGCTATGAAGTCAAAGATGACAAGGTGACTTGGAGTCTTAGGTTCAGAAGGCCACTTCTTGATCAAGAGGTGGAGGAATGCATCCTTCTATTGGACAAGATAGAACAGTCCAATATCTCTATAACTTCTGAAGATGGACTGTGGTCGAAGGAGTGCAGAAATGGGATTTTCACAATGAAGTCTTTCTACATGGCTCTCATCAAGGATGATGCATCTACTGACCAGCTTGGTGGGATTTGGGGATATCCAATTCCTCCGAGAGTAGAAACATTTGCTTGGCTGGCTGCACTGGACAGTGTTCTCACAACAGATCACCTGAAAAGCAGAGGTTTTAGTCTGGCCAGCTACTGTTACCTGTGCAAATCTGAAGAGGAAACCACTTTCCACCTGTTTGTCTCTTGTCAACTAGCAAACTTTATTTGGAGATTTTATTTCTTCCTGTTTGGGGCACMCATCTTCCAACTTTCCTTAGTATCTGAAATCTTCTCAGGCTGTCCAAAGTTAAGAGGAAGCAAGAGAGCAAAAATTAGTTGGAGCTGTATCCCCTTTGCAGTGTGCTGGTCTCTGTGGGGGGAGAAGAACAGGAGCCTATTTGAAGGAAAAGAAAGAAACACCAAAGTGCTTGTGGCTTCAGTCAGAAAACTTATTACTAATTGGGATCTTCCCCTTCTAGAGTTTGAGCATTTCAGCTATTCAGATTTTGCAGAGAATTTTTGGGACAGTCTTGAGATTCAAGCTTGTAATGTGCACCAGTTCAGTCTTGTCTGAAGTGTTTTTTGTTGTTTGTTTGTATTGGGGTGTTTATGGATGCTTGCTTGTAATGGGGTGTCATCTTGACACCCAAACAGTTTGTACCCGTTTTTATTTTAATAATTTTTTTCTTATTTACCTTTCAAAAAAAAAAAAAAAAAAGATTTACCAGCTGAAGATGCTACTTGGGAGCCTTGCATTGAGTTAGCACAACAACTCCCAGATGTTGGCCTTGAGGACGAGGGCCATTTTGAGGAAGGGGGAGATGTTAGAGACACAAACGGACAGAAGGCAGGGGTATATTCTAGAAGAAGAATAAGAAGGCCACATCAGCCTAATGAATCGGTTTCAAAGGCAGTTGAAGTTAACTGAACAAGTTGTCTAAGTTGTTGTGTTACGATAGGAGCTAGACCAATATAAGATAGCATTGTACCTACAATAAAGTGTGTGAATGAAGTTTTTCCTCATTTTCTTTCCCTTGTCTTCTTCTGCAATTATTCAGGAGGTCATCCTCCATAGAGGATCTGAGTTGGGCAGCTTCCCAACACAAGCCTACCTGCAAATCCAGTAGTCATTATTCTCTGCTCTTACTGGCACTCAGAAACAGTGTTTTAAATGGATCTAGAAACTAAGGATACCTCCTCGCTTTAAATTATTGTTGTGGAAAATCATTAATGGTTTTGTTCCTACTAAACATAAACAAAATTTAGAGCATTCAGATTCTCTTTGTGTTTTCAGTCAACAGGAAGCTGAAACCATTGAGTATCTGTTCTGTTTTTTCCCTTTCTCAAAAGCTGTTCTGTTTGCTTCAATGTGGAATCTAAATCTCACTACCATTTTCCAGAATTCTTGGTATCACTGTTTTTTCAAATCTTGTTTCTGCTATAAATTCCTGGACTGAAAGCATGGAATATCTGGTATACTAGAAATTAGCAGATTTTTAATAATCATATGATATCTGTGCACCAGGTCATTTATTGTATTCAATTCCTTTTTTCTTCCCTCTTCTCTTCTTGACCCAACATCTGTTGCAACTGATTCAATTTCTCGAACTTGCCCATCGATTATCCTAACCCCAAATATCTCACATATATTGTTTTCAGATGGGGGAATTCTAGATATTCAACTAGCACCTATTGAGGCATTTGGTTTTCTAATTCCTTATCCTTTGCAGGTGCCAACTCAGGAAGGTTTCAAAGTTCTAATTTACCGGAAGAAGCTGAACTGATGGGCTGATGGCGGTGTATAAAGGTCTTCTTGAATCTGTGCAGAAAGGGTGGCATGGGGTCCTTTTTTGTTTGGATTATCAGTCTGTTATTAAAGCTTTCAGAAGGAAGCACCAGTTCCTTGGCAATCCCTTCATCAGTTTTTAAAATCCAAGAAACCCCTAAACAAGTTCAGCCTTTTTCTTTTTGTTTTTGATCTGCTAATATTATAGCCCATCATCTGGTCTAGAATGCTAAAACATGAGTCAGAGACTCAGAATCATGTTGATTTTGATGAGATGCCAGCTGATATGCCCGATGTAAATGAACTTGTACTCTTTCGTTCAGTTAAGTTTGTTTTTTTATATGAAAAAATGGAGCAACAAACCACCACATAGAATTATACAATAGGAAAATGCAATTGTTATTACATTTCCATTAAAACCTGAGCTGATAAATAGAACCCTACTAAAACCGACGTTCATAGAGTAAAAAATATGTTTACTAATGTTATTTAATCCTTTCAACTCCACACCTACTCGACTCAAATTGAAATAGAAAACCAATCAATGTATGAGATACAATACAAATATGAATTACAAGCTGAAAATAGATGAAGCCACAGAAAACACACACACACACAACATTGTAAAAGGGAGAGATGCATCACTTATCATATTCCCATTAAAACCTGAGCTGATAAATTATACCTCATCAAAGGAGATATCCATATGAAAAATGAAAGCTGATTAGTATTACGTAATATTGTAATCCTGTCAACTCCAGTTTCCACTCTACTGAATAGAGATGGAAAACTAATCGATGTAAAAGATTCAATACAAACGTGAATACAAGACAAAGGCAGAGAATGGAATTACTTGAAGTGGAATTTACAGTCACAAACAAAGCAGCAAATGAAACCACCAGATGGGCTTTAAGCCCATGCATTAAGACCTTTGATCCAATAACTGCTTTAGAAGGCTGACATCATCTCTGGCATTTCTGCTTGTTTGACACTTGCTGCTTCTTTTCAATATCCAATTACTGGTTCACATCTAGTTTTTAGTTTCATTTAGGGTATGTAGAAAATAGATCAAACATTAACAGCCCAGTTTTAAACAGAGTATTGGTCTTAGAAAATAGGTCAAACTGGTTCTTAATTTACTTTTTTTATGCATTGGGGAGTATGAAAACCCTGGTTCAGGTATGGAGAGATTCAGCAGCTCAGTTTTAAACAGAGTATATGGTCTTATTTTGGGGCACAGAAAAGCATTATTTGTGATGCTGAATCATTTACTTTGGAAAGGCAGAGATATTATGAAGTTTCAAGTGCCCATTGAGCACTTGAAATTTTCACTGTATCGCATGTTTGCTTTCAACTTAACTCACAGCACTTCGGCCTTAATTCCAGCCATTGAGGATGAGCTAAATGAATCTTATTATGTCATTATGCTTCATCAAGAGCCATGTTTACTAAGCATTTTATGTCCACTTCACTAAGCATTCCAAGCCACTGTTGTAAAAATAAGGGCATCCCAGTGCACAAGGTTCCCACCAATGCAGGGTCTGGGGAAGGATAGATGCATGCAGCCCTGACCTTGTCCATACAGAGAGACTGTTTCCAAGATTTGAACCCTGGTCACCCAATTGGAGCAACTCAACGTTTGTGCCAAGGCCCACCCTCATTGCAAGCCATTGTTGTGCTACCCAAAAATTTTCTAAGGATCACTTGAAAGTTTCACTTGTTAAATCTTTACAATTATTTCTTCATTCAAGTATTGTTCAATATTTTAATAATAAAATAATCAAGTGTTTACACATTCCATCATCAACAAAAGCAAAGGGATTATAATATACCATCTCTGTTATTCGTCTGAGCTGATCCTCATATGACCTGTAAATCTGCTCCTTCAACCCCAATATCTCCTGTTTTGTATAACCCTTTAAAGATTCAACTTCTTCTCGTTTATTACGCAATTTCATAGCTCCTTGCTGTCAATTAAACGTTGTCATCATCATTAAATCTCTGATGCAAAATATTGACATTTCCCATCAACTACAAAAGAATCCTCACCTTCAACTCAGCCAAAAATTCATCGGAGTATGGCTGTCCACCATTTTCTGCCACGACCATGTCCACAAGGGAGAGCAGTTGATGTACCTGCTCAACCTGTTTCTTTTCATCCTTAGTTTTGTTATCAAAAAGCACTACACGGTTTTTACACAGGTGGAGAATTTCCTGTATCAATATCACAAACAATGCAGAAAGTATTAGTGCTCTTTAAAGTTAGAACTTTTTAATCATAAGAAAGGTGTTGCTAAAAGATACAAGAATAATGCCAAGCCACAGGCTGTAGCTATGGAGCCCACTAAATCAGAAATGGGCAAATTACAAAAATGGAGTATTTTGTGCAAATGCAATATAGGATTTCCTATTGTTGTTCTATAGTTAGTTGTTTTCTTAACTACTGATGACTTCTTACTTATTTTTCAAAATGAAATGTCTAAAAAGAATCTTTCCATAAAAACCTCTCAAAGATTAGAATTTCTATTAAAGATCTTTCTTTCTCAGAGTAAAGAACAAAAGGATTAGATGGTGGATGCATTAATCAAGAAGATGGTCTACAGAATGGAAAGGTTCGGACAGTGGGTACCGATTATGTTGGACAACTGCACTTAGGGTTTAGGTTAGGATTCTCTTGATGCCTTGCTGAATTCCCAAACCCAAGCCAGAAGTACATGTGTAGAACTTCTTTCAAAATAAAGCTCTAAACCTTGGTTTACTAGTTAGAGTTTCATTTTGTATTCAATAGGACTAATGATGAAGAAAAGGGAAAGCATCCCACAAGGATGAATGTGGTGGGAAGAAGAGAGAAGGTAAGGATCTGAATTTTAGGAAAGACTTTTTTGGGTAAATTACAGATTACAACCTTGTACCTTAAGGGTAGTGACACTTAGCCCCCTGAACTTTCATTTGCGACGACCCCCCTGAACKTCCACGTTCCAACATTTTGCCCCCTCCCCATTAACTAGATTGATGGAAGAAGTTAATTTACTAAAATGCTCTTTCAAGATTTGTGAGCATGTTTCAAAATGACAAAAATGGGCAGGGTAAAGCACATTATCTCTTTCCTGGCCATTTTGCTTCTAAACCTTAATCAAACAAAGCCCTCACTGTGAGAAAGAAGAAGAAAGAAACATAAGGGGTTTATACAAATATGCAAGAGAAAGGGCAAAATGGTCCCACAATTCTTATAGATAACAATAAGAACTTTATTAATTATGGTGGAAACAATGAATAGGGGGTCATTACTTGGTGAGTTGGTGTAATGGTAAAATCTCAGCCTAGCAAGTGTGAATGTGGATTTGAGTCTGAGAGTGTCCACTTTGTGTAAGAAAATGCCAAAGGTTAGGACCATATCCAGTCTACCCTTCTCAAAACCCTAGATAATCGGGACCAACATTAGCAATGGCCTTTTTATAGTGGAAAGAATATGTATATATGTTGTTTCAAAACCAAAACGCAAAGCTTGGCTTAGACAGGCACCTAGATATTGCCTAGATGATAGAACTTTACCAAAACAACAACAACAACAACAACAATAATAATAATAATAATAATAATAATAAAATATACTAAGTTAGTTCCCTATTTTTACATAACAATCAACATTCTATAAAGTTGGACAAAAAATAGAAACATTCTTTGATAATAACATTAATTCTTCTCTCAAAACATAGAAAATCATCATATCTACAACACAATTGCATTTTAAATCAATTAATATTAATATTTCAACATAATAAGTGTTTTATAGAACCATTGAATGTTATAAAACTATTAGCAATTAAAGAATGTTATAATTTTATAACATTAAATGCTTTGAGATAGACTTGAAGGACCCACCCCCACTTGGGTCCTTTCCTATGAAAGTTTGGATAAAAAATAGAAACATCCTTCGATAATAACATTAATTCTTCTCTCAAAACATAGAAAATCATCATATATACGACACAATTGCATTTTAAATCAATTAATATTAATATTTCAACATAATAAGTGTTTAATAGAACCATTGAATGTCATACAACTATTAGCAATTAAAGAACGCTATAATTTTATAACATTAAATGCTTTGAGATAGACTTAAAGGACCCACCCCCACTTCGGTCCTTTCCTATGAAGGTTTGATGTACTCCTATACCTCCCAAAAGCAATGTCTTTTGTAGGGAAGTTTTCCATAAAGGTATCACCACTATTGACATGATGCAAAAAAAAGAGACCAGTTGGTCCTTATCTCCTAACTGGTGTATCATGTGCAAATTGAATGGTGAGACGGCATACCAGCTACAAATCTCCTACCCATTGGCTTGTTCTATTTGGAATCGGCTTCTGGCTCTTTTTGGTTGCAAGTGGGATCCTCCTGTCAGCTTGAATAGGTTGTTTGGTGCTTCGATGGTACAATGTCCAAAGAAAAGAGGTAAAAGTCATGTGGAAATGGACAAGAACAGCAATGTTATGAACATTGTGGAAGGAAAGGAATGCAAGGATTTTTGAAGAAAGACCAAGAAGGAGGCTCTGGTTGAAACTATCCCACAAAAGGTGGGGACATCGGATTTGTTTTCTGACTACACCAACAACGATATACTTAGACAATGGGAGGCAATTGCAGTTTCATCCTCTATAAGGAAAAAAGTTATAAAGGAGTGGGCACCCTAGGTAGGGGTGGTGGAAGCTGAACTTTGATGGGAGTAGCATGGCTAATCCCGGGTGGTCCGGTATCGAAGGTTAAATAAGGGATGAGAAAGAAAATATCCTAGCATTGTATTTGGATCCCATAGGAAAAGGAGATTTAGTAATGTCAGATATGTTGGAAGTAAGTTTTGAAGTACAGAAAGCTAAGGAGATGAGTATTGAAAGATTAATCACTGAAGGAAATTCTAAGGTGATCATTAGCTGGCTATCGAAGGAGCCAAAGGCAGCATGGTACTTCAAGAATGAAATCAAACAGTTCAAATATTCTTTAAAGGAAGTGCAGACAAAAATCCAATGGGCACAAAGGTCAGCTAACTTGGCTAAGTATTGGCAAAACAGGGAGTTAATAGACAACAACTTCTGTGGCTTTGATGTAACTTGTATGGGTAAGGCTATAAAGTTATTTCCTCGATTGTATCCACAACCTCTTGTTGTGGATAAACTAGTATAGCATTGCAAAAGCAACCACATAGGAGTTGATAGACACTTTATTAGGAAAAAAGTTGCAAGTGGTGAAATCTGACGATCATCGAGCTAATTGTTTAACCAAGGGTGTGCTTTACGTTAAAATTGAAGATAGATAACCTTGGCATGTGTAACATTTACACCTAACTTGACGAGGATTGTTGTTTTCTAATGTTTATGGGCCTATTATACTTTATGTTAGCTCATTGAGGTGTTAGCCTTAACTTTTACTAATTGAGGATATTGTTATAATTTTTTGGTATTTATCGTTGTTCATACCCTAATGAGAACGCCGTGGCAAATACTTCTTGAAGCCTCTTAAATTTTCTCTTTCCTACTCTTTCTCTCATTTTCTTCATTATTTTTTCTTTATTTTTTGTCAAAGACTATTCCAACTATATCTGATGACACCAAATTCATGCAAAACAAACAAGTCTTTACCCTAAAAATAGATAAAAGGTAAATGTCGCAATTGCATCTTTAACTTTTCAAAATTTCAAATTACTTTATAATGAGACTCTATAAACTAAATTAACGCTTTAAAAGGACTACCCCTATTCCTAAAACAGCAAAAAACTAAAGATAAATCTAAAATACTCAAAAAATACCAAAACTTGAATGACCCATTAAGGTGCACATTTGCCATTGATTCAAGAATATGAAAAATCTTGGTTTCTTCTTCCATATCAACTAGCAATATTACTAGTCACAAGAATTTTTTATTTATTTATAGCATTGTATCGCAAACCAAACCTGACTAAAACAGACTAAACTATAGTTGTGCTTAGATTGGGGAATTAACACCTTGGGTCGGGTTCATGTTAGGTCTGCTTAGATATGATGGGACTTGAGTTGGCACTCAAGTACTTGGGGTTGAGCTTGGGTTGACTGCAAACCTGACTATAAATTGCACATATATTAGGAGTAAGGATCAGGCTTAGATAATAACATTGGTATTCAGGAACAAGGATGGTTTTTAGATTGGGAAGTGGAGAATTAGATCAACAAGCAAAGACATCATAGGAAAAGGGGGAAAAACATATTCATATAATGTACTTCAATGTGTAAAGTGATTTTACCCCACTTTAATCCATATCTACCATATATGTCCTCAATACAACAACATCTACTGACTGTAAACTAGAAGTGAAAAAATCATACGAAGTTTGACAAGAACCTCTGAAAGAAAAGAAAAGGAAACAAAAGAACATCAAAATAGATACCTAGGTCCCAATTGATTTGATTTGAATCAAATGATATGTATAAATCATCAGATTAATGAATTAAATCATAAGATTCAAACAGTAATCATAATTTTTTTTTTTTGCAGAAAATGGTTCAGACACAAGATCAAATCTAAACCATAGGCTCAGTTTGGAAAGAGTACAAATACAAATATTTACAGTGCAAATACAAAGTACAAGGTTTTGCACTCTGCATATTTTTTTGTACTCTTTCCAAACTGAGCCTTAGGGATTCATAATTTATACCATGAATTGTATAACAATTTGTAACATTTTGACAAAAAATATTTACCCCATCCATAAATTTTCAAGGAAGTTGAAAACTAAACACCGTATTCCCTTGAAGCTCCTTTCCAATTACTGGTAAAAATGGATCAAGTTCAAGTTTTTTTCCATTTTAAACAAAACATGAATATTATTTTTATGGTAAAAAGAGCGACATGATAGAAACCACAGATGAGGTAGAAAATTACAGGAGTGAACCACAACCAACAAATAAATAATAAATATAGAGATCTATCCCCTTTGATACCTACAAACAAGATCTAGATAACATCCATAAATAGGTATCACCAAATGCAAGCAAATAGACAGCATTCCTTGCCATATGTAATTAAACAGAGAATACAAGTAAAGAAAACATGTTTTATCTTGGTATTTTGGACTCCTTAAAGAACCTACAAATTTGACCAAATACGATAATTCACTGAATTAGCAGTGGATTATGTAACGACGATGTGAACATTACAAAACAGAAGAATTGATTCTAGCTGTAAAACATAATCTTTAGTAGGAACGCAAACCAGCCTAGGTTAGGTAAAATCTAGATCAAGCCCTACCACCCCAAGCTGCTAAATTCTCAACCCTAACCCTAACTCGTCCCAATTGCACCAGGCTGGATTGGGCTCGGATTTCACTTCTTTTTTTCTTTAAAAAGAAAAGTTCTCACTTCTTAGATTTAGGATTTGTCTTAGCCAATTAGGGTTAACTAGCTTTTGCATTAGTAACTATGTAGGAACAAAGTTATGGTGATTTAGGGGTAGTTTATTTATTTTTGATAAATGATTGAATTTTATTCAATAAAATCAATAAGATATTACAATACAGCCTTCCCAAAGGAGGGGCATGAGCTGGTACCTCTCCACAATAGCAACAATGTACTACCTCAGACTAGTAACAAAAAATTTACAAAGCTGCCCAGAATAACTGTTCCCTTGATACCCCTTGTTTAGCTAACCCATCCGCTATGGTGTTAGCTGTTCTACCCACCCACTGAAAAATCACATTCATGTTCCTTGAGAACCATTTAGCTTTCTTCATAATACCCCTGTAGCACCAGATCACTGAATCTGGATTTTTTAGCCAACCCACAACTTTGGAGCCTCCTTCAATAATCAAATTTTGAACTCCTAACTGATCCACAACCCGAATGCCTTGTACTGCTGCTAGGAGCTCAGCTCTGATTTAGGGGTAGTTTATTTATGTCACACTAAAACTTTTTTGATAAATAAAATAAGATTTCAATAATAGAAGAATAATGCAGTTACAAGCTTCCCATGGAGATACGTCACACTAAAACTTTAAACTAAAAATTATTTACACAAATATGAATAGACATGTTAAGTTTAGGTTGGATCGAGTTGCCCAACTCCTCAACCCTAACCAAACAGAAAGTTAAGACAGTTAATATTTTTCAACCCAACCCAATTTTTTTAAGTTGGGTTTGGGTTAACCCTGCCCAAGTTGCACCCCTAATCTTTAGAGGCTGAAAGACATAAAGCATATATGGGAAAAAACGAACGATATAAGACCAGGAGAGAAGATCATAGATGTGAAACATAACCTTTAAAGGCTCAGGGCACTCACGGCCCAAATAATCTTGCAATGTCTCATCATTATCTTCTAGATCATCCCCACCAGTAAAAATAACTACCATGTAATCACTAATTTTCTCTCCAAAAAATGTCTGCAGGCTCTGAATTGCAGCCTCCTCTTCCTTTGAAAAACGGGTCCTGACAGAGAAAACCACAAGAACTGCATGGATCCCATCCTTCGCTAGGTCCATACACTTCACAATCTCTTTTCCAATAAAGTCAGATCCAGCTGAAAAATCAAATAGTCCTGCAAAAAATTGTACCGTTAGTGTGTTTATGTTTAATATCCGTACAAGAATCTGTAGAAGCACAAAATAAATGAAATGTTAAAGAAGTTACTTAAATAACATGTTGAAGGAAAGGCACAACTTTACTGCAGAAAGTTGCCTAAGAAAGAGGAAGATAGTTTTTAGAGATCATGGAGAAACCAGTTGATGATTTTGTGGGTACTATTAAGAACAGGGTTGAAGAAAATGTCAACACTTAGCATAAATTAAGGCTAAGTAAAAAAGGAAAGGATTTTCTCATTATTGCCATCCTCTTAGAATTAAATGAAGGCACAAGATTATCCAGCCAAAGCAAACCTACCAGGCGTGTCAATAACATTCACAACTTGGCCATCTTTTAATACAGTCCTCTGCATTTCACAAGTACTTGTAACTCCGGAAGAACTTGTTTTTGATTTGAAAGCCTTCCTACGAAGAATGCTATTACCAGTTGCACTTTTGCCATTCCCCGTACGCCCTACTAAAACCACAGTCCGGACCTCACTGGATGAGGAGGCTAATTCCCAATCATCATCTATCATACTTCCACCCATTGTAATTAAATAATTTATCTGCAATAATAATAAATACTGACAAAATGCAAAAAAAAAAAGATAATAAGAGAACTTATAAAAAGATAAAACACTCAAAATCATCTCTTTCGTTTATCAATTTAAGAAACTTGACTGCACAAGAATAGAGATATAGTTTCCATCATGTGTTTTGAACTTACAAAAATTACCTAGTCCACAATTCAATTGGGCTATGGTATCCTACCCTCCCATTCAACTTCAGCAAGTTAGGTATAAAACACTAAATATCATTAATTGTATCAAGCAAATGGGTAATATAATTGAACAATTAGAATCAATCAATCAATTCCAATGCACTGACAAAAATAATATACAGAAAGTCCCCCTACTGGGTAATCAAAATTCCCTAAATCAGCACCATCTACGCCATGTGCATGACCAAGACCCCTTTCCATGTACAGTAACATAAAGAAGTGAGAAGACAATCCCCATCCACTCCCCTCAGATTATCTAAAGTTCGAGCAACAGATTAAAGCTAAGAAAAATCCCAAGAAAAGTAATTATCAACACGAAAGTAAATTCATCAGATAGCCGTATACCAGAATTCTTGAAAACTAAGAAAAATCGTTAGAACTATTGGTTACTTCAATCCCAAGAAAAGAGAAGCAAATTCGCTTACTGTTACTCTGTGGACAATATCTGCATAGACTTTCAGTAGCGCCTGTGATAACCTACTTCCAGAGACGAAACGAGATCGCTTCTTGTACTTGAAGAGACTTGAAACTTGGTAGTGAAGGAGGAGTTCGCGGAAACTCACACAACCAGAGAGAGACGAATTTGTGAGGGGACCAATCATTTATCTCTTATTCTCTTCGGAAAGGAATAGGAACCGACTAGCCGACATTGTTCATCCGCAGGCAATGTGTAAGCATGGTCCATCGGCAGTACGCTACCGTTTGATTAGCATATCTTGATTTTATGGGATCATTCTACCGGAATGGATTATCCAGCATGACATTCATATTTTGTAACCATGTCAACTGACTTTGTTTCTATGGGTAAAGAGGTCAATCTGGCATTCATATCATCTACCATTCAATTCAAGAAGAGCCAACAAGGGTAAATTTTTGCCCTTAATATTAATAAAAATAGCAATTTTCATAAAACTAGTAAAAGTGTACTTGCTTTGTATGTGATAATATCAAATGATGATGATGATAATATTTAGCAACTAAATGACCTTATTAGTTGAGCCATTAACCTATTTAACCAGAAAATAGATTATGATTAAGACATTAATTTATTTTTTTTATATTTTACCTATTTTTATTTTTACTAACAATAATTCTTATTTTTCAAACATATTTTTGTTTAATATGAAGAATATATAATATTAATGCATGTTCAAAGTTTTCTACAACATTTATAAAAAAATCTATATTTTTATTTTTTATTATTTAATTTATGAGATAATAAAAATTACTTATTTACCAAGAGGAAATGCAATTCCAATATATTGTTTAAATATTGGTTTTTAATATTATGGTCAAATCAATTATTTATATATATTTATATATAATAGTATGTTATTTATTATTTATTTATAAATATGTTATCTATATTGCATTTTTGTAAACTTCGTAAATGATGAAAATATTTGAAAAAATACTTATATTTTTTGTTTTTCTTTATTTCAACTATTATATTTTTCTTTTTCTTTTAATAGTTTATTACTTAAAAAAAATAAATCGGATCGTATCAGATTTGAATATCTAACATCTTGATCGGATTTGGATTTGAATCAATATTTATGAGATCTGGTCAAATCTTTGGATTAGATCAAATTTGAATATACCCTAATTCAAATTTAATCTGATTTGTTTGCATCTCTACCTAACCATTTGCCTATGATGACCTAGCTAATTAAATTATTGAACCATTTGACATGGTTAGTTGGGTAATGTGTTAGACATTAATGCTATTTATTTTTTGTCCTAATTTTTATCCCATTTCTATCATTAATGAAAATAATTCTCATTAATCACACTTTTTATATGATGAATATATAATATTATAGAATGTACCCAAAATTATCGACAAATTTCTAAATTTTCTAAAATTTTATGTATTTTATTATTTAATAATAACATCCATTTGACATGGATAGTTTAACCATTAACCTACCACTTTGATGGAAAAACCATTTTGCTTTTTCGATTGATTTTAAATCATGTATTCCACTTTTATCATTGATAAAATAATTCTTATTTTCACATTTATTTTTATTTAATATGGTGGTTTATATTTTTCTTTGAGTTTATATGCATGCATGCATGTATGTATGTATGTATGTATTTAATATTCGTTACTTAGTTATGACATCATAGATTGACCCATTTGACCCAGAATGTTAGATCATTAACCTACCTACCATCTAGATATGGAACTAGTTTCATTTTTAAATTGGTTTTAAATTTTGCATTTCATTTATACCATTGATAAAATAATTATTATTTATCATACTTATTTTTGTTTATATTATTAGTATATAATATTATAAATGTGCCCAAAATTGTTTCATATTTTTTGTACTATTCAATTTTAAAAAAATTATTTTTAATTATACATCATGGTTTAACCTATTTGACCTAAAATATTGAACCACTAACCCACCCCCTGGATAGGAAGATGATTTAATTTCCAATCGGTTTTAAGTTGTATATTTGATGTCCATCATTAATAAAATTATGTCTATTTTATCATAGTTATTTTTTAATATGACAAATATATAATAATAGAAATATGTATTTTTTTTTCAAAATTTCATTATTTCTATATATATATATATTATTTTTTATATTTCTAAATTTGTATTATTTATTTATGACATCATGAAATTATCCATTTGACACAAAAGATTGAAATACTTACCCATGATCTAAATGGAAAATATGATTTCATTCTAGGTTTATTTTAAAAATATGAAATTTCATTCTATTAATAATTATTGTGTATGGATTTATTAGTGGATTTTAATGATGATAAACAAAATTATTTTTTATATTTCTAATTGAGTATTATTTATTTATGACATCATGAAATTATCCATTTGACCCAAATGGTTGAACTACTTACCCACCGCCTAGATGAGATATATGATTTCATTTCTATATTTATTTTAAAAATATAGCATTCTATTAATAATTATTGTGTATGGATCTATTAGTGTAATGATGATAAACAAAAGTATAAACGTTGAATTCAATGAAAGAGAATGTGATTTATTTAATAACTTAAATGTGAGACTTAATGTGAGGTAATTAAATGTACTTAATGGTATTCTTTTAATTATATTTTCTACCCTTTGAATGGAGATGAACTAAATTCAAGAGGAGGGGTATTTCAATAAAGAAAAAAAATCCAGAAGCCAATACCTCCTCATCCGCACTTTTATTTTCCATCATTAATAAAATTATGTTTATTTTGTCATAGTTATTTTTTATATGACAAATATATAATAATAAAAACGTGTCCAATGTTTTTTTTTTCAAAATTTCTTTTTTTTTCTATATTTTTTGTATTTTTTATATTTCTAAATTTATATTATTTATTTATGACATCATGAAATTATCCATTTGACCCAAATGGTTGAAATACTTACCCACGTTCTAGATGGAAAATATGATTTCATTTCTAGGTTTATTTTAAAATATAAAATTTCATTCTATTAATAATTATTGTGTATGGATTTATTAGTGGAATTTAATGACGATGAGCAAAACTATTTTTTATATTCCTAAATTTGTATTATTTATTTAGGACATCATGAAATTATCCATTTAACCTAAATGGTTGAACTACTTACCCACCACATAGATGGAAAATATGATTTCATTTCCATGTTTATTTTAAAAATATAAAATTCCATTCTATTAATAATTGTTTTGTATGGATTTATTAGTGTAATGATGATAAACAAGCATATAAATGTTGGATTTAATGAGAGAAAATGTGATTTATTTAATGACTTAAATGTGACACTTAATGAGAGGTAATTGAATGTACTTAATGGTATTCTTTAAATTACATTTTTTGCCCTTTCAATAGAGATGAACTAAATTCAAGATGAAGGGTATTTTAGTAAAGAAAAATTCTAGAAGCCAATACCTCATCATTCACACTTTTATAAGTAGTATAGATATAGATATAGATAATTAGAATAGGATAATTTTTTTTTTTAAATATCACATAAGGGTAATGGCATTGTTGCCGGAACATGGTTTCTTCATCACCAAGTCCATCTAAACTACCATGGTAGGTTAAGGTTGCCGATGGCTATGACCAGATCCTCTGGAGAAACCATGTTAGGTAAAATCATAGGTGGCACAATGGAATGTCTTCTTTCTTCTTTAGTCAAAGTGATGTCAACAACCCCAGGATTCCAACCAACCTCAAACCCGAACTCTCTCTCTCTCTCTCTTTCTTTGTGAAACTTGTTTCCATAACTACTCTAGCTGATCCGGTGGAGATTGCAACGAAGCAAAAGGAATTCATTTATAGGTTGAAGCTTCCTGATATCTACATCCTGAACCATCTCCCTTTGCACTCATATTTCTTCAAAAACATATCACAGTTCGGCTCCCAGCCATGTCTGATAAACAGCGTCACCGGTGAGACATACACTTACACTGAAGTAGAACTCATGTCCAAAAAAGTAGCAGCTGGGCTTGACAAACTTGGCATCCAACAAGGTCAAGTGATCATACTTCTACTGCCCAACTCACCTGAGTTTGTCTTCACCTTCCTCGACGCGTCTTACCATGATGCCACTAACACAACAACGAATCCCTTCTACACCTTGGTGGATATCGCCAAACAAGCCAAAGCCTCAAATGCCAGACTTATCATAACACAAGCCTGCCATGTTGAGAAACTGAGGGAATTTTCCAAGGAGAATGACGTTAAGATCATGACTACCGACTCACCCTCCAATGGTTGTCTGCATTTCTTTGAGCTGACTCATTTTGATGAGTCTGAAATGCCCATGGTAAAGATTCACCCCGACGATGTGGTCATCCTACCTTACTCATCGAGGATAACTGGGTTGCTCAAAGGGGTGATGCTGACTCAAAGGGGTGTCATCACCAGCGTGGCGCAATAGGTTGAGGACGTATTGTTATGTGTGCTGCCTCTCTTCCACATCTACTCGCTTAACTCGGTTTTGTTTTGCAGGTTACGAGCCAGTGTGCCGATTCTGATCATGCAAAAATTTGAGGTGGTGGCAATGATGGTGCTCGTACAAAAATATAAGATAACCGTCAATCCATTTGTCCCTTCAATCGTCTTGGCACTGGCTAAGAACTCGACCATCGATAGCTACGACCTATCGTCCATCCGTTCATATAGTGACGTCCGGGTGCCACTCCGATGGGAAAGGAGCTTAAAGTGTTAGACAGTGTATGCCCTTAGCTCCAATCAGATTGATGCACATATGCATTTATTGTAAATGAATAAAGTACATAATTGATTTGTGTTATATTTGGTGTGTTTCTATGTAATTACCCTTAAACTAGATACTTACGAGACTTGTGTTAGTTTAAAATGTTCTCAGCTGTTGGATAGACTTGGGGAAGTTTATCGTGCCAAGGCTGACACTGATGTATTGCCAAGAAGGATGGGGCAGCTTGTCTCAGCTGGCAGGGTTAGACTCGAAGCACATGCAATGTATGTTTGTTCGAAACACTGAACCTGGACCATTTTCCAGTTATGCCCTAGACCTTGGAGACTAGTTGACAAAACTGGAAAGTTAGACATAACCCCTAGAATCGATTATGGTACTGCACTAGGTGTCGGATTGGGCTATCTTTGATA